GGAGTTGCAGCCCGGCTATGTTGGGAGCCAGGGCAAAGGAGTGTGTCCCAAACAGCTTATAAAAACGGGGTGGAACTTGTAAGGCCAAGTTTGAGTGTTTAGCGATTTGGCGGGGGCCTTAATCTCAGGGGTGCCTGGAAAGGGAGACTCCCCACAAAGGCCTGGCTTCCACCTCCCCCACCCCCTGGAAACTGAAGCCCTCAAATTTGCTAATCGCTTCTGAAAACCGTGGCTGTAGTGTAGACGGACGTGGAACCAGCCAGTGAGTCTATACAATGGTCACTGGCACAGAACCTGTAGGGTATGTAGGTGCCTAACTCCTCTTGAAACCAGTGGGAGTTAGGAACCTAAATGTTTTTAAGGCTCAGGGCCTTTGTCCTCGCTCTAAGTCTTCTCATTGCTTCCAGAGGGCTTTGGCTCAGGCCCAGTAGGGGAGACCCGCAGGCCTGAGTGTTAGCAAAGGGCTAGTTCCCCCCTTAGAGCGACAATGCTTGCCTGCCTGCAGACTCAGGACTACGGTGTAGCAGGCTCATGGTTCTAGAAGTTTCCTTACAACCAGAAGAGCTAGTAACTGTAAAGTGAAATCCTGCAGCCTAGCTATGGAACTTATCTGGGGGGGACCTGGCATGGGAGGAGGAGGAACTGGGGGGGATCCAGAACCCCTGGCCTGAGGGGAGAGGCAGGGGAGGGCAAAGTGCTTACAGTAAAGGGGGATAGGTGGGTGGTGCCCAGGGAGCTTGTAGAGGAAGGGAGAGATAGGAGCCCCATCCCTTGGGTGAGCAATAAGCTCAGCTGACAGCTGCTATGACGTGTGGCACCGCTGCAGTACTAGCTAGGCCGCTGTAGTGTAGACATGGCCTAAGAAGGCCCTACACTGGAATGCTAAACTAGGCGGCACCATCTGTAACATCCCTTCCCTGAGCATATACCAGCCAGACCTGGCAGTGTATTCATGTCCCTTAAAGGGAACACGTCTTTGGTAACGCTTTCTCTGCAGCCAGTCCATATCTGGTACAGGAGCCTGACCTGCTAGGAGCAGCCCTGCCACCTACTGTGCACAAGGCGTACATGACAGGCCCAGCTCCTCAGAGGTATTTAGCTGCCTGAGTCACCCAAGGCCTTGGAAAGAGTCCAGAGCAGAGCTGGGAAATGAACCCAGACACTAAACCCACTGGAAGGATGTTAGGCCTCAGCGCTGTAGCTCGGCACTCGCTCTGCTCATGTCACATAGCGAGGTGTTTGGGGGCACCAGGGAGCAAGGTGTTCTGGGGGCATCTAGGAGGATGGTGAAGCACTGGATTGGGTTACCTAGGGAGGTGGTGGAATCTCCATCCTTAGGCCTGGTCTACACTACGACTTTAATTCAGATTTAGCTCCGTTAATCCGAATTAATCCTTAACCCGTCCACACAACGGAGCCAGTTACTTCGAATTAAAGGGCGCTTAAAATCGATTTCTGTACTCCACCCCGACGAGCGGAGTAGCACCAAAATCGATTTTGTAAATTCGAATTAGGGGTAGTGTGGCCGCACACCACCGAATTAATGTGGTTAAAAACCGAATTAATGTGCTTAGTGTGGCCGCGCACAATCGAATTTATACAATCTGTTTCCCAAATTTGAATTATCTAAATTCGAATTAATCTCGTAGTGTAGACTTACCCTTAGAGGTTTTTAAGGCCTGGCTTGACAAAGCCCTGGCTGGGATGATTTAGTTGGTGTTGGTCCTGCTTTGAGCAGGGGGTTGGACTAGATGACCTCCCGAGGTCCCTTCCAACCCTGATATTCTATGATTCTATGATCTAGCTGGTTCGTGAAGGAAGGGTGACGCTGAGATCTTAGCTGGCTCTGACCTACTTTTCAGGGCTCCTCACTAGCTCCACAATAATGATTTCCCTTTTTAGGTGAATGATAATGAATCCAAGAAACTTACCAGATGCTCCTGCTGGGGTTTGTGGGAATTTCCTAGGGGTAGGAGAGCAGCCCCAGCTGCGTGATTCAGAACGTTCTGACTTGGCTGGGGCAGCCCCCGCTCCTGTGAAATTATCGGACCCTTGGCTCCTGGCTTGGTGTCTCACGACTGTGGGTGGCAGCTGTAGTGCTGCTGATTGCTCCCATCCAGCTGGCATCTGCTCTCCCAGCTGCACCTACCGCTGCTGTGCTAGGGAGCTGCTGGGCTCCATGCTGCTGGGGGTGGGGGGGCCTCTTTCATGTGTAGGAAGCGGGAGGCTCTTGAGCAGGCAAAGAGGAAACCGGGGCTCGGTCTCCTCCCCATGGTTGGGGGAGATCTTTCTCTGGGCAGCCAGCCCTGTTGGTTGGAAGAGATTGGAGACTCGTTCAGCTAAATGGGGGGCAGAGGAGGAGGGGGAATCAGTGGGGGGGGGGGAGGTAGCAGCCAAGCGTGAGCAGGGTCGCAGTTAGGAAAGAGCTGAGACAGTTAGGGAACAATTTCCCAGCCATGCTATGACCCTAGCATCCCCAGGGAACTGCCTACATCTTGGTGAGGGGATGCATCTTCTCGACCAAGGCAATTCCCCTCTGAGGAGTGGGATTTTGTTTTTACCTGTTTAACTCAAAAGCTAAGCGAACAGCTGGGAGAAACACTCGCTGTGTGAAAGGGGCATCAAGGTTTCAAGGCAGGCTGGCTGCAGTCGCTGTTGGTAACCAGTCAGGAAAAGCTATTGCATTCACAGAGGAGTGGAGCAGTGCGCTGTATGCATAACCCAGGCTAGCGGCACTCTGTCTGCCTCTAGTGGCAACATCACTTATAGAGATTTATCACTTCTACAGCCTCGAAACTGCAGGAGCCCATCCTTTAGCTCAGGCAATCAAAGCCCCTGCTTTATAGCTGCCCAGAGTCACGGTGACTCACGGGTTCAAACCCTGCAGCGGAGCTATCTAGGATGTCACTGCAATGCATGCGATAGGTGAGACATGCTGGCTTTGTGGCTGTTACCAGGTGTGAAGGGCAACAGGGACAGAAATGGGCGATCATTGCTGGTGGGTTGAACCTTCCATTTTCCAGTCACTAAGCAATGGTCACTGTTCCCCTTGGGCCTATGCCCAAGTTTCTAGGAAGCCAGCTCCAACGGAATGACTCAACACACAGGGTTGATACTCAGGTCACTTCTCAGTAAAAGCCAATCCAAACGGCTCTGGCTGTGGGGGCGACCTGGCATGTGAGGAGGAGGGACTGGGGGAGGATCCAGTTCCTTTGCAAGGATTTGCACCACTGGCATGCTTGGGTCATAAAGACCCAGACACCTGGCTAGGAGTTGCCTATTAATCAGGGTTTGCAGCTGTTCAAACCGGTTCTGGCTGTGCACAGCGCTCTGTCTGCAAACACCAAGCAGATTGTGTTGACAAATTCTAAGGATGATTAGGAAGGGGAGTGCTGGCTGGGAGGCAGCCAACAAGCCCTGAGAGCGCCTTAAGGGAGGTTCTAAAAGGGATCCTGCCAGGCTAAAAAAGCCACAGGTCTGATTTCAGAATTGAGTTAGGCATACAACTGCAGAGCCATG